AGGGGCATCAGAACATAGGGACATTAGAACATAGGGGCATCAGAACATAGGGACATTAGAACATACATGTAGGGGCATTAGAACATAGGGGCATCAGAACATAGGGGCATCAGAACATAGGGGCATCAGAACATAGGGGCGTCAGAACATAGGGGCATCAGAACATAGGGGCGTCAGAACATAGGGGCATTAAAACATGGGGCTGTTGTGGGAAAGAGTATGGTATCTAAACACACACCTGTCCAGTACATGTGAACTAGTCCCCTGCTGTATAGTGCTTTCACAAATGTTTGGTCCATTAGAACTATAGAAAAGGCCTGGCTTATGCACAATCATGTACGCTATGCATCTTTCCTTTTATGTGAAACCTGATTCAGTGTGATTTCCTGCTCTGTTGTCAGAATATAAAAGACTGCTGGGTGCTGGAGGAGCTGGTGTTTGACTCCGTGCTGCTGTTTTGGGTCAGTCTGCTGGGGATCATGACGTATCGCGGGGTCTGCTCTGCCTACTACACCCTGCTGTGGCTAGTCTGTCCACTACTGGTCAGGGTCACACTCATGAGGCCTGCCCGGAAGCAGCAAGGATACTCTAAAGGTTTGTTGCTTCTGGGCTGGAAGTATTGTTTTAGGGGGAGTTTGTATGTTTGGATTCCAGATACTGTATCAGGCCACATGACATACAGGCCTGCCCTGAAGCAACAAGGATACTCCAAAGGTTTGTTGCTTCTGGGCTGGAAGTATTGTTTTGAGTGGCACTGGTTTAGGGAGAGTTTGTATGGGAATCATGACATATCACGGGGTATACTCTGCTGTGGCTTGTCTGTCCACTACTGGTCAGGGTCACCCTCATGAGGCATGCCCGGAAGCAGCAAGGATACTCCAAAGGTTTGTTACTTCTGGGCTGGAAGTATTGTTTTGGTGGGAGTTTGTATGTTTGGATTCCAGACACTGCATCAGGCCACATGACATACAGGCCTGCCCTGAAGCAGCAAGGATACTCCAAACGTTTGTTGCTTCTGGGCTGGAAGTATTGTTTTAGGGGGAGTTTGTATGTTTGGATTCCTGACACTGTATGATAAAGGTCTGACATTCATTTAACTGTTATCTAACCTCCTCCCACAGACCGTGACTCCTTCATGCTGTACCACCTGCTGGGCGTGTCTGTTCCCATGGTGATGACGGTGTACGGCGTCTGGCACGTCTTCGTCCTCTTCATCCCCATCATGGGCCGCTCCGGGTCAGAGGTCGCGCCCGACTTTGTCGTGGCCAGCCTCGCTGTGCTCTCAACAATTGTGTTATCCTGTTATCTAGTGAGTCTAATTATGATTTACTGTAAGTCGCTTTCTTTAGGATAGCAAAATTTTACAGAAAGAAAATGACATGTTCACAAAACTTAATTTTCACAATTATGGTGGCAAGTGCAGTGAGTTGCACAATTTAGGTACCCCATATACATGTATAGCTCAAAATACCTTTTGTACATGTATCTTACCTTTCATACGAAATTAGAAATTTTGTTTGTAACATTTGAGAAAAGAGCTACAGTAACTGTTTCCCTATACTTGATTGTTGATTTGATTATATGGATGACATCCTCTGGGTACCCCAAAACTGATGCGAGCGTGCAAATAAAAAAAGCTTGGCAAAAAAAAAGGTGCTTTCATTATGAAACCTAGTGGACATGAAGGTTGAACAAATGACACAGAGTACGGTATGGCGGATAATCTACTCTTCAATATCATCATTCTCTTTTACTTTTTCGTCTTTTTCGTTTTGATTTTGGCATTCTACGACATTTGTATCGTTTTCCAATATTTTTCTTGCAACTGACGGTACATGTATATATTTGCTCATTTTGCAACTGTTTTGTACGATTTACAGTATGGTTGAAAACCTTTTTTTTTAAATGGCCGAAAATTCATGCATGCAGGGATGTCATCCATATAATCAAATCAACATGGCCTTACCTCAAAGGACATTGTGTTCCAACACTGGGCATACCACATTTTGACAGGATAGAAGACAAATATTACAAAGATTATCAATGGAAATCTTTTTCTCTTTCACAGCTGAGTATAGTTTACATCAGTAAGTCGGTGAAGAGGTTGACCTTTGGCCTGGGAGCCGCCATTGTTGTGACCTTTGCCCTGGCCTTCAGTAGTTACGGGTTTCCTTATTCCGGTAACAGGGACAACCCTACCCCCAAACGGCTCATATTGCAGGTATGTATCATACATTCAGGGGTGCCAGAGTATACAGTGCAATTTTACGGAATACAGTGCAATCATATAGTGCAATTTTGCGGAATACAGTGCAATTTTACTAGTGACATTGAATGACGTAACCTGGACCCGGTTTTCCAGGATATTTCTGTGTTTTTTTTAACCATTCTCGTAGATAGACCTTTAGTCAAATCACTACGTAGTACACACAGGGCATGTTACTGCACAGGAATCATTTCAAATTCGCTCGAAAAAGACAGAAATATGTGAGTCAGCGGCGTCCGCCATCTTGAAACTCAAGGGAAAGCAGGGTCCAAGTCATGTGATTCAACGTCACTAGTAAAATTGCACTGTATTCTAATACAATTGCACTGTATTCTGTAAAATTGCACTGTATTCTAATACGATTGCACTGTATTCAGTAAACTTGCACTGTATACTAGTAAACTTGCACTGTATTCCGTAAAATTGCACTGCCAGACACATATGCAACGACGTCACGTTACAAGAGTAGACGGGTCCATTCCGTGAACAAAGTGAATGGAGTCAACCGAAAATTTGGGGTAAGTCTCACTTGGAAGTTAAAGCCTAGTCTTTATTTCATTATATACATGTAGTTACATTTATTTAGCAATATATATCTGTAATGCCCTAGTAATTTCTCCCATCTCCAGCACTACTGTAGAACGACCCACGAGGTAACAGGAGAAGTCAGCCGCCATGACTGTTGGATCGGACTCATCAGTATGGACTACACAGGGCTGACCTACCTGACTCCTGAGGTCTGTATCTGTATCTGTATAGCTGGTATAATCACACTTTGGCATAACACACCAGCTTAACAGGCACGCGGCACGGCGGCTGCTGGCTACATCACACCGAACAATGTGTTACACCTTACCCTTGAACATCTAACTCTAAACATTGTTTAAGCTATCTAATGACAATACCCCTACTGTATTTGGTGACAGTGAGTTCCACTCTGCGATAGTTCTAGGAAAGAACAAATTTTTGAACACCTCAATCCTTGGTTCACTTGATAACTCTGGTACTTGAAGGCATGGCTATAAAAAATTGTTCTCTTCTGGGCTGGTATTAGGTACTTAGTGGTTGGGGTGTCCACCAGTTTATTAGTCATTTTGTACATCATGCATAGTCTGGAAATTTTTCTTCTGTCTTCCAGTGACACCCACTGTAGGTATCTTTTTATTTCATTTCAGGTCCCAGAGTTTCAGCAGGCTGTGAACTGGCCATGTGAAGGGCCGTACTGTGGGGTACCCTACATCTTCCCTGTCATGTCCTTTATCAGGTTTGTTTGTTTGTTTGTTTGTTTGTTTGTTTGTGGAATCTCCAATTAGTGACATACATTTGTAACACGCTACTACTCTTCCTGGAGTCCTGCCATGACACACATTATAAAATACAAACATCATATTATACAACATGTGCATGTAACTACTATTTACATCCACTTCTAACTACTATCAAAGAAAACTGTTTTGTCAACATTAAAGAGCATTACATACATACAATAAGATTATATTAATTACATCAATTACTAACAATATTACATTATACATAGGTTATACTTTTAGACTTTTGTTCAACACAAACTGTTGATCACCTCAAATTTTGTCGCACATCCAACAAATTTTACCTGCACCACTCAGACTTTGAAATGTATGGATCGTACTTAGTCTAACAACTGTTCAAAAACCATTGACATTCAGTTGTTACAGTTATCCTATGTTGTTATACAACAAAGAAAAATCTGCACACACCTACTATAAACCAAATATATGGTCCAGTGCAGGTAGACATCAGAAATACCTGAGTGTACAGCTCCAATTTTTCGTACCTAAATTGTTAGCAACGAGGCTTCAATCCTGCATCGAGCCGGATCAATCCGAACAATTTTATCCTAGTAGAAATGGGGCCTAAGGTGCATGCACCCAGTATTTGGAGCCTTGATCTGCATGTGAAGTTTTCTTTTTGCAGTTTGAACTTCTTGTTGTTGTTTAATATGCACAGGTCCAGGTCGATAAACCACATCCCAGCCAATGAGCTCCCAGCACTAGAGAACCCGGGAACCATGAAGCTGGTTTCCCGGGAAACACACGGCGGCCGGACCAGACTGCAGTTTGAAGTCATAGGTTTGTACTTCAACTTCAACTTACGTTTTCACTTCAGTGTACTGTTAGTAGCAGTTTTCTTTTCTTAATATTCTAGCATTATCAAATGCTGCTGTCATTTCTTCATCAAAGTGCTTGAGATGAGTGCTTTTTTTCAATATATTGCTTTTAAGGCAATATGGCTTCCCTATATAACATTAGCCTCCATTTGTACTACATGTAAATTAAATTTTTCTGCAAAAAATCTTTCCTGAAACTTGAATGTGAAAACAAATTACAAGTGCATAACAAAGTTATCACTGAGTACAAGTTAGCACTAATGGTTTAAGACAAATTACCCAGTATCTTAGATACTAAGTAGATATATATCGTTTTATTGTTTATTACTGCAAATTTAACCCTCTCCCTGTTGCCTAATCACATCACAATACAACTTTGGTCCCTAAAGGTTGCCTTGGCATACTGATGGTTAAAGCCACATGACATGTCTGTCCTGTACAGGTCCCAGTCACATGACGCTGTACATCTCACCCAAGCCCCATGTGTACATGGTGGGCTGGTCGTTTGGTGAGGTGCCGCCCCCCACGTCAGGCCTGAACGGCAGACAACACTACTTCGTGCTGTATGGCAGGGGGTACACAGCACACCCCTGGCACATGTATCTGGAGTTTACGGTAAGAAGACAACAAGACTACTGTCTAGGGTCGTATGGCATTAAAAGTGGTAGGGTGTTCGGCCCAGACTCAAGAGGTCGAGGGTTCAAATCCTGCCCGATGTCACAGATCTTGAGCCCTTGGGAAAGGCACTCTACAGGACTTTCCTCACCTCACTCAGGTGTAAACGAGTATCTAGCTAGCTATAGGGACGTCCCTCAGATAGGACGTTAAATGGAGGTCCCGTGTTTGGGAGAGCCCACGCACATTAAAGAACCCACCACACTCCCGTTGTGAGTGGTTCAAACCTTACAGTCTGGTCTCTGGGTTGACATCTTTGAAGAGGTGATAGTCATTCTGTTATGTTAATCCTTCCACAGATGTGGTAAATCTTCATTAAAAAAAAAATACAGAAAGTATCTCTTTTGACAGACTGCAAAATATTCAATGAAATAAAGGACAAACTATGTAATTTCAGTTTTGGGCACTTTTAACCCAAAAGCCTATTTTGCAAAAGGTGATTCATTGGTTCCTACCAGTCCCACACACATACAATGTAGGGGTGTTATTTGACCCAAATCCATGCTCAGGTTTGATGCCTGCCTATTCCACCAAGGGCAGGGCTCAAAATTCATTTTTGGGAATAGGTGCACTGGTGCACCCAACCTAAAAAAAAATACATGTAGGTGCACAAAAAAGTTTTTGGGTGCACCATATGAAACAAAACCTAATTACAGATCTTCTGAGCTTGAATGTGAAATAGGAGCTAACTTCAAAATCTTACAAATCAAGAACATTGTACTGCAACAAAGATTTTATTTTTCTGATAGTATTAATAGATACCAAGAATATCCTGTATACTATACATTCAATATGTACAAAAATAGCTACCAAAATATTTGGGTGCACTGGTGCACCCACAGAAAAAAATTGGGTGCACAGCTCCAAATTTGGGTGCACTAAGGTGCACATGCACCCAGTATTTCGAGCCCTGAAGAGGATGCGGTGATATAGTGCGGGGATTTTGGCTTGAAAGGCACCAAAACTCAAAATACTTTACTTATCCTTTTAGTTTTTTAGTTTTGTGATTGTTAACATGTAAGAATATCCATAATTCTTATTTTTTTCTTCTTTTCCATTGGTTGATCATCATCACTGACTTGTATTTCAGACTGCCATGAAAGACCCAGAAGCACTAGTAGAGGTGGCCATGTCCACCCACCATTTTGATGACCTTGGAGTGAACACCGATGACCTTGTGCGCCTGCACAACAGCATGCCTGAATGGGTCCACACCAAAGGATGGGCCTCCAACTACAATCAGTGGACATATTGAGGAAAATGTCCACCTTTTTCATATACTTTTTTTCACAATGTGAAATACTTGACTTGTTTAATGGACTTTTACACAACAAAAAAAAAAAATTAACAAAAGAACCAATACAAGATGTAAGTAATGATTAAAGCATGTTTTTGTGAGGTCCAATGTGAAAATGTTTCTCAACTTTCTGTCAGTGACCAGCTTTTCAAAGTCAGTGACTTTTTGATATACTTACTAATGTACACTTTTCTACAAATTCCAATGACTTTTGTGTAGAAATACGCAAATTTTTACCACAATTATTAACCCTCCCCTTGCTACAATCCCATCTATGCACCCAAGTTTATATGAATTATAATAGTAGAAACTAGTAAGGAGAGGGTTTAAGGACCATTTGGTCAATTTTTTTACAAATCTTTTCATCACATCCGTTGTGTGTTGCCCATATTGATGAAAGATCAAATCAAATTGTAAGAGAAATTGTAAACAATTTTGGAGAAATGTGCAATAACAATTTTTTTTTTACAAAAATGAGAGCTGTTGACATTAGGAACTTTTACTTTGTGATGAATTTCAATCTACACATATGAAGTATGTAGGAGGATCATGTTGGTAATAAACCAATTAGCAGTTTAGCCAATAAGAGAACAGCAATTAGAGGTTCGACCAATGAGACAGCGGCTGCATGTCCGTCAAATAGTTGCATTTTTATGTTTTTATTTTGCATTTTGAGGGAGGTTGGCATGGCTAAGGGTTATGTCTCTGATGCAAAATTAACCTTCTTCCCACCACCTAACCTGTAACAAACACAAAACTGATGCCATAAGGCAACCTTAGCAGGAAGAAGGTTAAAGCCTCGGTCACAACCCGCCGTACGTGCTTCTTCGTGCTGTCTACGTGCAAAAACGTGGGCAAATGCCAAACGCAGGGCATCCGTGCGTGGTGAGTACCATCTCCGTACGGAATCCTACGGATTTGGGAGCACGCAGACACGCCGTAGAACTTTAAGTGCATGTAAAACTTTTCTACGTGCGGTCTGCGGATTCACCACCCGTGCGTGCGAGTCGAGCGACTCACGTGCCCCGTACGTGCCGTGCGGAAGAAGCACGTGTGAGTACGGCCTCCTTACAGTAAAGTTGCAATCGCACAGAGATCGTACGTTGTAAGCACGTACAACTCACCACTAGCGAAACGTACGATGCTCGCAACCGCTCACGACCAGACTTGGCGTGCAGACCACAGTCTTACACTTTGTGCAACCGTGCGAGTGATGTGCGAGTGACGTGCGTAGACACCACTCCTTCCCCACGTTTTCAGAAAAAACGTGGCAGACGTAGCCTCCCAAAAGACGTACGGACAAAAAGCACGTACGGCGGGTTGTGACCGTCGCTTAAATGTTGGATTGTGATTTAAGTTAAATCAATGATGACTGAAACATTTCAGATCTCAGGTGATGTACATTAATATGTAAACATGCATATTGCAGATACACAGGCATTATGTAATGTGATTATTTCTCATTTTTCCACCATACCACTTCTCATTTGTATAATACCACATCATTTTTTTCCCGTGGCAGTGCCACATCCATGGATGAAACTACTGTAATTCCTTTTTTTTTTTTTCACTGTACTTTTATGTTCACTGATTTTCACTGTCACTTCTCTACCGTGAACTTATCATTACAGTTAACAAATAATTCCTGGACTTTCTTTTTCCTGCACCTGTCACAACCCTGAATATATAGTTCAGTGAACGTGTCAATTTTTCTCAGACCGTGAAATTTTGCTACCGTGAACATTAAATGAATTACAGTAATTGCAAAGTAAATAGAAAAATGTGGTGCATGCACATCATTTTAACATTGTACTCATCCTATTTCAGCTTCAGTTCGCTCCTCTGGTTGCAAATCCGTGCAGAATAGTCTTGCACCAGTCCCCATTTAAATATTTGTCCCTAATAATTATTTTGGGTGGTAGAGATTGAACTTCACAGTGCCTGTTCGAACGGGGTCGGCCCTATGTTACGACAGCCCTATGTTACGACAGCCCTATGTTACGACAGCCCTATGTTACGACAGCCCTATGTTACGACAGCCCTATGTTTTGATGCCCCCTTTTTTCAACGCGATCATGGCTATGTTCAGACACCAAATGATAAATTGTAAATGTATTGAGTGTAATGATCTCGAAGGAAATTTTCACGTAATATATTGTCACTTAAAGAAAAACATCAATACTATTCTTCATGGGAATATTTCAACTTTACGCTCTAACTTAATTGACCTTCTAAATTAGGTATGCGACATTAACATCTAGCCCGAGTCTAAAACATAAACAAAAACAAACAACGCAGACCTAGTCGGGTAGGTAGGGTTCTCCATTGCTCGGTAATCGTTATAGATAAGCAAATAGTTTCGTATTTGCCGAAACACCCGTGGATTGTAGTATTTTCAGGCGTGGTAAAGTTGGTAGGCCAGCGAAGCGTTCTTGGTATTAGTCCGCGGGCAAGGGTGATGCGGTTTTGTCGCCTGATGACCCAAATAGCTTCGTTCTATATACAATTTCAATGAATTTGCGTCACTGGAGATTGCGGAAAACGTATCACAACAACCTATACTTTTTTCGTTTTTTATCAGCTAGCCGTTACCCAGAGAAACTTCGTTCAGGACGCCGTCCCTGCCTGTCCGACACCGTCCCAGCCCGGCCTTAGGCTCGCGAGATTTGACAAAAAAGCTCGAGATTTTTAGGCTAAATCTTGAGCTCTTTCGATTGTCAACGAGGCATAAAGAAAAGTTTTTTTTCTCTATTAGAGTTTAGAGTTTCTATTTCCTCTCCTGCGTTACATAACATAGGACTGTCGTAACATAGGGCTGTCGTAACATAGGGCTGTCGTAACATAGGGCTGTCGTAACATAGGGCTGTCGTAACATAGGGCTGTCGTAACATAGGGCTGTCGTAACATAGGGTATGAACCGTTCGAACCCTGTCAGGCCACACCATCTTAATTTGTTGGTTCTCGGATTCGCCTCTTCATTTTTTTCTGATTTGCAAAAAAAAAAAGATTCTGGTTCTGAATCAACTCAAAAATGCTCATATTTTGCTCCCAACAGTTGAGGAAAGTCCTTTTTTATCTTCCTAGTTGTTACAGTTTTTCCATCTATCAATGCAGTGGTTTGATTAAAAGTTCAAAATTCGTTGTTTAAATATTAACCCAGACTTTAATATTAGGTGTTGAATTCATGACTCCAATTGTTGTATTTGGGGCTATAATAGGATGCCTAGACCTGTTTCTATTTTTATTTTTTTTGCCCTGTTGCTTCATATTTTTTCTTAAAAAATCCAAGAACCAACAAATTAAATTGGCCTTACCATGCTGCTACAGTATTGTTTAACACAGATCCAATTTGAGCTCTCACTTACATGTTAGATGAATGCCATTCTAATTTGAATGCCAATCTGCCCTCTGTGAAAAAAACCCGGGTACCAGAGTATTTTAAACGAAACTAGTCAAAGGAGGCTGAATTTTCTTTGAGTGGTGTATAATACCAGCTGTATAATGCTTCATGCCAAATAGATGCAATGGACCTATACCATTATTACGTCACAGTTTGTTTACCGCAATGAATGCCGGTCAATCAACGTTTATATTGTACAGGGGTGCGTAGTGCAGTGTGTGTTTGTGTAGCGTTAGCCTAATATAAGGCTTTTAATACAGTACTACTTTCGTCTAATGTCACAATTAAATCACCCATGCGGCATGTAACGCTGTGTCAACACAACTAGACACAGCAAAAATCAGACATACCTTACTTTGAAAACGTTGAAATGATCTTTATTCTTTAACTGACCGTTCTAGAATGTTCTTTAGAACATGTAAACAAACTGTGACGTAATAATGGTATAGGTCCATTGCTCGCTTACTCATGCATTAGAGTATGGGATATCAGTGGTGCTAAGAGAAACCTTTGCTAACACTTCATCTACCTCTGCAACTTTTTCTATACTTCCAAAATTGGAATGATAGTTGAAAATAATTCCTAGAACAAGCATGGTATTTTAGGGCACAAATATGACACAAAACCTGTTACCTAGAAATCATTGCTCTGAGCCTTTCAACCATTTGATACGCTTTCTATAGTCTTGAATAAGTACAATTTTTGTGGTGTATTTATAATTAATAAGTGAATGGTAAGTTTTGGCAAGGAAAGGTAGTTATAATACAAGGCAAAGTCATGTTGTTGAGGTGCAGTATTAAAAAGTTGTGAAAACAATTTATTTATAAACAATAATTGTTGTTTGAAGGTTGCACAGTTTATAACAGGTGTTATAAATGTTATGATACTTATTGGAAATCCAGTTTTTAAAGATATAAATGAACAAATGAGTGATGATGTTACCAGTATTAAATTTTCTCAAGTTTATAGACTTTAATTATCAGTGGTGCGTTTCATAAGATTCATTACAGATGTGGCTTTAGAAAAAATGTACAGTGTATAATTTGAAGAATGACTTCTGTACAGTAGAGAATGCACAAGGCTTTGTTGTTTTTTTAATATACCAATGAGGCATGTGGAGCTAAGTGGGTAGGTGGGTGGGTTAGTGAGTGAGTGAGTGAGTGAGTGAGTGAGTTAGAGTGAATGAATGAATGAGAGTGCAAATGTGAGTGAATGAGAGTGCATACAATTTATGTGAGTGAGAGTGCATATATATGTGAGTGAGTGAGAGTGCATGTGAGTGATCTGGGGAAATGACAGTGGTTACACATTCTGTACACATATAGGTGATACAGTAACTGTACAAGATCGATTGAGGCAGATACAGGGTAGCTAGTGTGCCTGGAAGTACATTTTGCTAAAGTGAAGACTTGGAAGTGAAGTAAAAATGACAGAGAAGATTTCCATGCAGAAAGTTTAAATTTTCACTATTAGGTTTCTCAATAAAAATAATACGCTTTTAGAGCAAGACAAAAACACAACACGACAGACTTACACTGAAGCAGTACCAGCATCCCATCAGGTTCAACACCTGCAGGTTCTGACATACCGTGGAGACCGTTACCAGGTCGGAACTATGGAGGCAGGAGTTGTGTGACAGTCTCAAGAACTGCAGGTTCTTTGTTTTCTGCAGATCCGAGATCGAGCATATTCCCTCCCGCCCAAATGACAAATCAAGCCGGAGCAGGTCTGATTTAAATGGCTTAAATGCCTGTGCATAGCTTCCCACTGCCTTCTCATATGTTACAAATGGACTCCCACTGATACAGTAGGAGTGAAGAGTGGGCTGGGGATCCCCCTGCTTCATAGAGCCTGTCAGCAGGTTAAACACAGAGGATGCCACTTCAGAGTTCTCAAACCCGTAACAGACCAGCTCCTTAAGGTTACTTGCCGAGACAGCTGCTTGGTCTTCTTCAAGAACGTTGTATGTCCTGCACGCCACGTTGGAAAGCTGCACATTGCCTAGCAAGTAGATCCTTTCCAGGGCTGGACAGAACGTCAGGACCCCAAACAGGTCCTGGTGGACTTCAAATGGGTAGACCTGCTTCACGACTTTTAAGTTCTTCAGTGTTTCCCTACATTGCTGGCTGAGGAATGATGGCCGGAAACCCCCCTCGACGTCCCAGGCAAGACAGCGCAGTTCTTTGGTAGCTGATAGGATTTTTGAGAGGCATTTTGTGGTGACCTGACAGTGAGACAGGTCCTGAGTGCCAGGAGGCTCACACATCGTGAGAACACCTCGAGGGCCGTGGAGTGTAACCAATAGCAACCATGGAGACTGAGATGTTGTATGTTCAGTGCTTGGTGACTGATGACATCCTTAAGAAGGTCGTCTGACAACCTGTAACAAGACTGCAACTCTGTATACCTGGGAACGACAAGAAATTTGAAAACAATGTTATAACTCCAAAAGAGTAGTGGGTTGTAACTTGTTGGAAAAAGGAGCTAGCTCGAGTCCAGTCTGATTGGCGGAAAAAGCAGTCCAGTCCGATTTGGGGGTGGAAAAAGCAGTCTGGTGGTTTCTACGAAAAGACTACGAAAGACCATAGGTACAATTTTTTCTTGTGTGTGTACTGCTAGTTTTCCGCCAATCGGACTGGACTCCTTTTTCCAACAACCCAAGAGCAGTGCATTATATGATAGAGGGAAGAGTTTCAAATCTATCCTTTTTGTGAAGGTTATGATACTATCGGACACAACAGATGTAGAACAGGTTTAATTGACTTTTACAGTTCGTTACTTATATAATGTTTATTGTTTAATTTTTTTTTTTTTAACAACTCAATGCAACTGACTACTTTAGCCGGCTGCCCACCCGTGGGTGACAGTGAGCTATTCTTCCAGTAGAGGGTAGAGCACATAAAAAAATTACATTACATACATAAAGTTACATTACCATCTAGTTATTTATAAGAGACAAATGTGTCAAAAAATGTGGTGCCCCCCTCCCCATCCAAAACGTTACATCTGCTATACAAATGTGAACAGCGGGAGTCCACAGACTCACTGAGTTTTAAGGCCTGGGAAAGAAACTACCTCCCCGCGGCCGGAATCTCTTGGCCAATCTTTTTTGCCGACTTCTACAATCCGTATAATTCCCGTAGAAAGGCCTGGTGGAGGCTAAGTAAGACTGCCTGTAACTAACTGAAGGAGCTTGATCCTTGCCGGTAACTGTAAGAAAGAAGCCTCACCTCCAAAGAGTTTTGTCCTGGCGCAGCTGTCCTGGCATATTCCGCGAAACCTCCTGCTTACTCGCTGCACATTTAAGATGTCATCTATTGAAAGAAATTGCAGGATATGCAACACATTTTCGTCCGAAAGTGCCGCCATGTTGGATAGAGGGCCATATACCCCACGTGACCTTGACATACAGTCCAAAAATATATTTTAAAAAAGACGCCAATATTTCTAAAACTCCATAAATTTATCCTCAAAAGAGAAAATTGCAATGAATGTAAAAATAACAACAAAGTTTGTTTGAATTATCTTCAGTAATTTTCCATTGGCCATATGACGTCATTTTCACAACCGCGCGATTTGTGAAAATTTCGCACAGACGAGAATTCGTATGCTCTGTTAAAAATTGTTCAAAAACATTATTCTTTCCATTATTGCGGACAATTTTTCGTCAAAATATGCAGTAAAGGTATTCTTCAACTGGCAGATTGAAAAATTACGGGACATTTTACGGTAATTTTACGAAAAAAGACAACGACAATGCAGGGAAGAGTGGACAACTGTGCAGCCGGGCGAGTTTTACGTGGTGTGACGTAGGTAAGATTGTTGAACACTCCTCTGCCATTTTTGAGCGAAATATTTACCGTAAAAGTACCTTTAATGTGTTCACAACAGTCTAGAACATGTTCTTCAAGTGTTAGTCTTTAAATTCTGTGGTAATTTTCTGTCCTGTTGGGTATTTTTCATGGCAATTTCTGGGGAAAACTCGGCAGACATTTTTAAAAATGCCTCTTGTTAACATTTGACGCAGCTGGAGTTTCTGTCGTTTGACGATATAAAAATTTACCTCGCGTCTAGGTATTTTGCGCACAAAAGTCGATAAGGCCACACCAAGTAAATTTTATGGATGACGTCCTTTGGAGACCCTAAATCTAATGCGAGAGGGCGAAAAAAAAACAAGAAGAGCCCTAAAAAACAAGATGCCTAGATAAGAAATATACTAAGAGACGACAAATGTTAGGGCACAATTTGAATGAGGTGACACAGTGTAACAAGCAAGAAGTCTTTTATTCGTAATCAAAACAGCAATAAATCAGGTGTAACAGCAGTTATCGTCCTGCCCTGTTCTCGCGTTACGGGTTTCACGTCAATCTGACGATTTGTGGCACTGTCGTGACTCTTTGGTCATAGTTACAGGAAGTGGAATAATTCCACTTCCTGTAACTATGACCAAAGAGTCACGACAGACAAGAAATTTTCTTGTTTTTTTTTCTAGGAACAGGCCGAAATCAATGCGCGCGCGGACGTCATCCATAAAATTTACTTGGTGTGGCCTAACACGATCTTAGGGACCTAAGCAATGAATGCTGAGGAAATGTTTGTGTTTTTGGTACCTTTTCACGTGATAATATGTGAAAATGTCAAGCAGGACGTCATAGTAAATTAACATATGAACGATCGATATGACTTTATTAGCAAATAGCAGACGTACAACATGAAGTGGTGTCTGAAATATCTTTGCTAATTAACATAAAATGTGGAAAATTACGTTGCAACACCTATCAATAAAATTACATTGATTCACGAAACGTACATTACATTGATAAAATTCAGTGGTACGAAGTTAAATCTTGGATAAAAGATATGAGAATAGCGTTGGATCATCTGATGATGATGATGAAATGGTTTATTGAGGATAAAAACCCTGGCAGCCTTACATAGGCTGAATTGTGGTTCTTTCACAATTCAATCATCTTAGACAACATAATACAGAATTCTTATCACGTAGATTAAAACAGGAATGTACGGTCATTCAATATATTAAAATCAATTGGTGACTACATTTTAAGACCTTTTACTGCACGGTTTACAGTGCTACTAGTAAAATTACAAGAATAAGTGTATTAAGGTAAGTAGGTCTATATTAGGTAATGATTTGTTTTTGCAGATATATGAGTCGAGTACACAAGTTTGTAGTACACAGATTCTGGTTCACGATAGCCTATATGCCATTTGGTACAAGTGTTTAAGCAGTCTCTGAATGAATATTGGCGACCAGGTTTTTGGTGGGTAAAATGTTTAAGTAGCATGTTTAAACATGACGTACACGTAATACAACATGATATATATACAGAAATTTAGTGTAATGGACCCCTCAAGTATAAAGCTAAGAAGCAAATGTGAAATACTTAAAACAGCTTTATCTTCAGATGCTGTTCAAATGTCTTTTTTTTTTGCAGGTTTTTACACAACAAAGTGGCAAGGAGGGGACAAGGAATATGCATTGAGCATTTTGAAGGAGACTCCGAGTTAAAGAAGAATATTCAGCACCACTACATCCCAGTCATACAGTTGGTAGGCATGGTCATTTATCACAATAGCCATTTTGTTCCCTGCCATTTGCATCTTTTGCCTGTAAAATTCAGTAAAATGATTTTGTTCTTCCATTACATTAGCCAAAAAAATCTTATTATGTTTACCGAAGGAAAACATATTGTTTTTGCTACGTTTCCTCTTCCTCTTCTTCTTCTCCAAACACTAACCTCTGACCTGGCCAATGACCTGATTTGTTGATGTCTGTCACCATGGTAACTGGTGTTGGGTTACATAATGTTGCAATGTTATAGGAGGGGTTTAGACTCCTGTCTGACCATATAATTTTATATGAATGTATTTGAGTAAGAATTAACAGAGCAGACCATATGCGAAGGTAAACATTATGCATTTGCTTTGCAAATGTTACTTTTCTAGTTACTAAAATATTTCTTGTCATGGATAGATATATTGATATATTCTCAATGCAAAACTGATATGTTGCAGGGATGCTTTTTAGATAGGTGATGCAATTAAGGCGCCGCCATACCTTCGTGAGACCGCGCTGAGCGGGCAGGGGGTTGACCTATTCTCAACGCTGTAGCGTGTGCAATTATCAACCAAATTCCATGAAACTCACACACAATGTACAAAACAATATAGGGATAACTGCTGTAAAGTTATTTTGTCAAAGTTATGGATGATTGTACCAAAAATATGATCTGAAAAACGAACTTCCGGTGTGGAAAATCACCATTCGGTTGTGACAAGTTTAGTGGCTTAAAACATCGAAATCTTGCGCAAAAATTGGTCACAAACAATTTTATACATACCAAGACATGTCCGTATAGATTTAGTTTGCTTAGATTTTACTTAAGTCAAGAGAAAATCTTGGAAAAGTGCTTGATTTTCGTCCAAAACTTGGCACGCCGTGGCTAGCTCACCCTGCACGGCCGCCGGAAAGTAAAGCTATACGGACACGCCCCACATGTGACAGAATCGTGACCTGACTCCAAATATGGCATGGCACGAACTAATCCCGAGAATTAATGTCACAAAAACAGGGTATATGGTTGGCTGACGGCCCTCCGAACTTTGCCGAACCGAAAATGTATGCAGAATGAGGTGTCAATCACCCAGCCTGACCTGGCAGCGTGCGCCCCCGGGGAGGTTCCAGATGCGGTGCGTGGCCGGCGGCGGACACACAGCTGCAGAGCTAGAAACTACGTTTTGAACAAGGGAAACAGATAAACTAGACAGAGGGAAGGCCATACTAGCTGCATCGAAGCTGGCAAATATTGTTATAAGCATTGTAGGCTATTAATATATGCCATATTAGTTGTGAGCAAGGCTTCCGACAGCTCGGTAACGGCTTGTTTACTGATAATGTGAGTGACCCCGGATCGCCTGATCCATTGTCAGGCATTGTGTTGACGGAAAAAAATCGACATTCTATTAGGACTACAGCAGTGATTATCGATCCTTCTGTTTCTTTATTGTATATTTTTATTTGTCTTGTATACATATTATCATATGCTAACATTTTACCGGTAAATGTAGATTATAACCTTTCCTTCCCACGTAAATCAGTGCTTACCTCTCCCATGTTGGTATCATCCAAGTAGCGTTTTCCTCGGCGTTTTCGCTGGATCTTTCTGGAATATCGACCGATGAATTTCTTTGAAAGAGTACATTTCCGCGCGTACGTGTCACAGAACACTCTCTCTTGTTTTGAAATGTGATATTTGGGGCGCGACGTGATTTCTAGGTTGTCTTTGAACCCGAGAAAGTACTGGGGTCCATGCAAGATTTATGACCTGCGGTCCGCGCGGCAGGCGGTGTAACTAATCTCCGGGCACAGAGGAGAGGCCTCTTGTGAATAGATTAGCGTTCGGCAAAGTTCGGCCAGCCGTTCCACATGAGTGAAATCCTGGCTTAGGCGGCACCTTAACTTCTTTTCAGACCTTGCTCAATACATGTTTCGATGAGAGTTTCCAAACATTGAACTCCAGTAACACACAAACATACTGGTCCACACCATACACAAAAATGTCCTTAGTGCTGAACACCATCCATGCACAAACACACCTATCCTTGGTGCTGAACACCATCCATACATAAACATACCTGTCCCTGGTGCTGAACACCATCCACACAGAAACATGCCTGTCTTTGGTGCTGAACACCATCCACGCACACACGTACATGCATGTCCTTGGTGCTGAACACCATCCTCACACAAATATACCTGTCCCTGGTGCTGAACACCATCCACACACAAACATGCCTGTCCTTGGTGCTGACACCATCCTCGCATAAACACAACTGTCCTTGATGCTGAACACCATCGACACACAAACACACCTGTCCCTGGTGCTGAACAACATCCACACACAGGCAAACATACCTGTCCCTGGTGCTGAACACCATCCACACACAAACATGCCTGTCCTTGGTGCTGACACCATCCTCGCATAAACACAACTGTCCTTGATGCTGAACACCATCCACACACAAACACACCTGTCCCTGGTGCTGAACACCATCCACACACAAACACACCTGTCCCTGGTGCTGAACACCATCCACACACAAACACAATTGTCCCTGGTGCTGAAAATACACATATTTCGTAAGACATCCAAGGACAAACAAAAACCCTTTCATTTTTCTTGTAGCACAGTGAAGGCAAATGGAGAGAAGACATACTGCACCGCATATGCCAGTAGGTTTTGCTAGACCATTTCTTACTCATTTCAGAAAATTCTGTAAGCTCTCTTTTACCCATAGCACAGATGATGCCTGGAATGTGTGAAATGCGTTGCTGTAAATTAATTCATTAAGTTTGTTTAAGTTTGAAAAAATTCTGTAGTACAGTATAAATACATTAGGAAACAAATATTCCTAGCACCACGATTTTGTTATGGTGGCTAGATTTGGTAGGCTTTTTTGAGGTCGCCATGAAAATTGTAATCACCAGAATCATGTCAAGATTTATAGCATTTTATATTGGCTAGAACATACAGCAAAAAATCTTGGTGTTCATCAGCATCATTAATCATCCTCCGAGGAGGTGTAGCATACAAAATTAGACCTCCAGAACTTTCTGTCCTTCATCGCAGAGATAAGTTCCAGGCCCTGCAAGCCTGTTTCAGTTTCTATAAGTTTCTTAAGTGTTATGTTTGGCCGTCCAACTCTTCTTTTTGTGTCAGGGCTCCAGAGTAGAAGCCTACTTCACTACGTACAACATGACCGGCCAAGCATAGTCGTCGACATTTAACTACTGTAGTTACATTTGGTAACGAACCATATATAGCATAACTGTTCATTAGTAGTATGTTTCCACCATGGTGTATTGAAAACCACTCGCAACATCTTCGTGTATGTCCCGTTTAGTTTTCTAGAAAGTGACATATTCATAATCCATGATTCTGACCCATACAAAAGAATTGTTTCAATATTGGTGTTAAGTTATACCAATATAGTGACTGACTTTTTTATGGTATTGTAAATATAGGTAATGATAACAACAGTTAATACTTCCTATCATATACCATTTTTGGAATAACTTTTGTTAAATGCTGTGTTAACTACAGGTCAATGTGTGCACAGCTACAATGTATCTCATTGGCTGCAGACAGCAAGAACACTACCGATGTGGCATGGCATTTGGAGGCAGAACATTGCGCTGCGTTTTGCATATCCTTTCAAGTTGACACTTGTTAATGCATCATTGGCATGTTGTATCCACAGTTTATCCTTTCATCACAATTGCAGGCCTCTTATTTGGAACACAAGTAAGGCCTAGGAAAAAATGTTGAGTTTCCTGTTGTTTCAGTCCAGAAAAAAATAGGGCCGGTCGGTAGGTAGTAAAGAAATTAAAGTAGGTAGTATTTTTTTCTTTTTTTTAGACTTTGGCAATCTCTACATAAGTGATCCAACTAATCTCAAGGAGCCCATTACTTGTACAGTAACAGTTTAACAAAGTAAAACTTCCATCAGGAATATGTTTTTGATGACAGTGTTGGAAAACCGATTGTACAACGTTTAATCACTCAGGTGTCAGATCATGGAGCTAGAAAAGGTCAATCAGCTCGAAAACTTGTTTCGAAATGTTCCTTGCAGGGGGCCACACAATAAAGACTAGAAACTGTAGTTTTTTCTAGGGTCGGTTGGGAAACAGGAAACACAACATTTTTTCCCAGGCCTAACAATCATTTTCTTCTTTTTAGTAGTTTCTTTTTTTTAAAATGTAGACTGTAGAGTTCACCTGTTGGCTGCCATCGGCGCCAGAAACTACATCCAATTTGATAACATTTTGCCTTGTACAAAGTTCCTGTGTTTTGGTATGTACACTCATGCAGAAGTTTAACAACAATCACGATTCAATTGGCTGCCATCGGCACCTGACACTACCATATAACCTTCCGAATTATCGTACAATATACACTGTAGTTCTTCTAGTATGTATTCAATGAAATAGAATATACCAGTTGGGTGCCGTTATCATTGCTTCATAACTTTATTGCATGCAAAATTGTCCTGTTGACTGCCATTTGTGTCACATAATTATTTTTGCAACCTAAACCTCATATTAGCTTTCAACAGTCACTGCTGCTGAAGCATTGCTATGCATATATGATACTATAATTAGTAGATTCAGGACAGAAAATTTGTGAAATTCAAAAAAAAAAAAAATTATGTGTTTTAGGTGTCCTAGTACAGGACAAGTGAGATGTACGTTACAATTTACAATTTTACAAGTTACAATGTATGACTTTTCAATTATTTTTACATGTTTGATTGATATATGCTTGTATATGGGGCAGCAAATGCAACTATTGCGCCTGCATGAAAGTAATTTTGCCAAAAAGAAGACAACTTCAAGGATGAACCAGAGAAACCTGTCAGCACTTATAATGGAATATTTTTTTCTCAATGCATTTTAGATGTCCCAGTAACAGGGACAGTTACAATACAGTGGCAATATTTGAGCCCGCAAAAAGGACATAATGTAATAGCAACTAATCAAATCTTATTCTTAATTTATTCTCAATGGCACACATAATGATAAAATGTCTGCTATGATGTATGTAATTGCAACTGATTGCTGTTTTTGGCTTGTCGTATGATCAAGTTTGAACAGTAGATGGTGTCCCAGTACAGGAGCCATATAGAACGTCACATAGAACAGCACCTAAAATCCCAGTACAGGGGTCAGGAAAAGACAACATGGCCTGAGAATGTGTTTTGTTTTTATGCTCCAGTACAGGGGCAAGAGGCCGACAGTTACATTGATAAAAATATATAATTGATATAACTAAATATAATTAATATGCACACATGTCGTCTGAGGTAACAGGTGCAGTAACCTGCTGTGCATTTGGATATCAGTGAGTGCCCAGAAATACGTGGTGCTCAAAAACTGGTCAGACGGTAGGCTGTTGTTAGCATCTGTGCGCTATCCCCTGTCGTGAGTGTGAGAGCCCGCGGGAGATCATGTCCTCGTACTGGCTTGGTGGATCGTGCGATCGTACGGAACGATGAGGGTGAAACTTCCACATGCAGGGTGACTTCGGGTCAGGCATTCCAGGGAACGGGCAGGGTGGCCAAGCCTACGGCTTGGAGTGGCGTTTAATGGTCGCACCATCTATGATCATAGTGCCGCATACCTGGATCATACACCCAAATCGTTCATTAAAGCCAGTCAACGGACATCGCTGTCCCGTGTTCGCATCAACCGCCTGCGGGTTGATTCCGGACTCATCGCGCCGGGGCAGAATGATCACGGAAAGCCAGGCAGTCCTGTGCTGGGTACCGCCAGTGGTCGTAGGCGGTACCGGGGGGCTGTTTTGCTGGTTGCGGGGTAGTCACCTGTATGTCCCCT